GACTCTTCAGTTAACACTTTGGAGAGTCCACTTCCATTCCATTTGCTGATTCCCAGCAGATTCCAAGCACTTCAATACTATACTTTTTCATCTCGTTTGGAATCTGGGCAGCCTTGCCAGGTTCAAACATGGTGCGGACATTCTATGTCCCCACGTTTACTTTCACTTTCATCGAGGGAAAGGAGACATCGGCCAATTGGCTTCCCGAAGGCTTTCACCAACTGGCATCATTTCGCCTCTCCGATTCCAGCGAGGAATAATTTTGTTATTATTTTCTATATTTTGTTTGTGCTGTGAAGTTTCTGTAGCAGTTGGATTTGTTTTACGGGGTAGGGTTGCTAGCTGTATGCCCAACCTTCCCTCTTTACCCGGGCTTAGGACCGGGTAGTAACTAGTGAACTAGTTAACCGGGCGAGGTTTGTTCACACTATACATGGTACATAAATCTAGTTGATATGTTGACTATGTCTTACTAACAGGTGTCATAAAACCCAAGATTAAACGGTTCTTATCATATACCTACTGTTATCAAAGACTAGGAACTTATTTTTATTTGATACTTGAAATTCCCCGTTGTTATACTGAATTGAATAACCTGTGTTAGCGTATGAACTTCTATGCGGTTGCTTCAACATTCTTTGAGAATTTATTAGAATGGTTGTGGATAGCTATATAATTTAGTGCGCAGGTATTTATTCAGCTGACGAGTCCTAATTAGGACGAAAGGCTCATCCTGTATTCCATTGTTAGCCACTTTCCAGGAAATTTGTCTTTTTGAAAAATTTACCTTTTATTATCATTTAATGTCATTTCATTTTTGAAATAGTACAACTCAGTTTACCGTACTGACTTATGATTCTATTGTGTTCTCTGAGCTAGGTTGTTTAATCGTAAAGCTTTCATCGTCATTCTACACGACAACAGCTGTCAATTTTTCTCCGTGAGTGATTCAGTACCTGGTTTGCGATTAGTTATTCCGTTTGATTGTTGTGTCATTGACAGACTGCATACACTTTCCTGTCGGCTGTTCCTCTGCTTAAACTCTCACCTTTCTATCGTTCATCATCTTTCTTATTGATTGATAGATTGGGTCTATCATGTCTATACATCTCACCACTGTAATTGATGATTGACTGGCTGACCTGAATGCCAAGCTTCTAGGAATTCTGTGGTATTCTTCTTTGTGTTTGCTCTCTCCTTTCAAAATTTCTACATTGTATTGTTGACTACAGTTATTGTAGTTGATTTTGTAAATGATATTCGGTTTGTCTTCTTTGGTTGTTGCCTCCTTTGGTCTGCATAATGGTGTTTGTAAGGAATTTGTTGGTTTATGAGCCACACCAATTCCACTAAATGGTGTCAGTAATCTTGTTGTGATTTCCGATATATTCTTTATGCATCGTAGGATGATGCGTTTGTTGATTTGTGTAGATGACTGTGTAGTTGATCATGTACGGGATGGGCATGTTGTGATAAATTTTCGTGTGTAGGTGTTCTTCTTTAGGATGAACATCAAGTAATTTTCTTCGTTTATCCGTGAAGTTGTTGTACTGCAGTGTGTTCTCACTCTTTTGATTAGAGTCTGCACGCAACTAATTTTGTGTATCGTTGGATTGTTCTCACTGTGTCATTGAAGATTTGATCACTTGGTGTGTGTTGGCCTTCTGTACACTTGTGTTTCCAGTTTTCCGGCATTTGTCCTACTGCCTAAAGCATCCAGGAATGTTAGATGGTTGTTTGACTACTTCTCCACTGTGAATTTGATGTCATTGAAAACGTTGTTGATGCAACTGTGAGTGTGTTTTCTAGATCATCTCCTTCAATGATGATAAAAGTGTTGTCTACATAGCGAGTCAAAATGTTTTGTTTAATGACAGATGGAATGATGGTCTCCAGTCTGTCTATCACTCCTTCTCTAATTAGTCCGGATATTGCTGACCTTATTGGAGTTCCTTTCATTTCTTTGTATATCTTGCCATTGAGTTGGAAGTGTGTTGTCAGGTGGAGGTCGATGAGTTCCGTCACATTCGAACATTTGAGTTTTGTGCTTTCTGAAAGGTTTGCGTCTTCAGTGAGCAGGAGGGAAACAGTTTCCTTGGACAACTGGGGTTCGATCGATGTGTATAGTGCTGTGACATCGAAGGATACCATTAATTCGTCATCTTCTTTCCAACAGCGAAACGCAGCTACTGATTAGGTCTTCTTTCCACTTCAATCACCCATGGTTCTCCTCAGACATCAAATACGATCATCACCCTATTGTATTAAGTAAAACTAGTTTCAGTCACACTTTTCATAGTAAAGATGGATAAGGGCTTTCAGTGGAATAGTTTATATACGTACTGCGATGTAGTTGGTATACTATTATATCCAGACCAATCAAATGCTGGGGACTGTCCAGGTGTCATTGACAATATATCATATTTGTATATCGATTTTTTTATATTCACTACTGTCTCGAGGACTAACTGCACCTAAAACGTCTTGTTTTATGTTGGCACAACGGTAGAAGAGGCGGTATTCAATATAAATTGAAGATTATTATGATGAGCAGGACTGAAATCAGTAAACAGAGAGGCAATAGGTGCATATGTGTACAAAACTACAATGACATTGGTTGGCGGTTGTGCTATATCGTGAGCTAACAGAAGTTGGAAATATGGACCACTGGATTCTGACCAAGTGGCTCATTGGTAACGTGCGGGACACGGAACCTGAAGGTCATGGGTTCGATCCCTGGAGGTCGGAGTCATGGGTGTGGACTGCTGAAGAGTCCCGTATCGGGACGAAACAGCTGGCTGTCCAGTGCTCCAAGGTTTCCTTTGTTCCTTCAACTGATGTCAGTCTACGATAAATAACAACTTGAAAACAAGATTTATTGAAATCATAAATCTCAGTAGGACTTGTCAGCCGTGCACTCTATATACATGACTTGGTGATATACGATATTGAGTGAGACATGGCAACTTACAGTGAATGATTTGAACATATCAAATAGAACTGCGACTAGATTGGCCTGGGAGAGGGCTGGGGCTAGTAAATTGATAGTGAAGATGAAGAACAGTAGACACTAATTACTCCATTTTGAACAGAATGGTTATAATAGTCAACTCGACAGCTTAATAAGAATATACAACTAAAGAACCATAATCGTTAGATAAACAAAATTGTCAATCATAATATTAGGATTGAGGATAATGATGAAATTTAAAGTAGAATAGAATAAGAATCATGGGATTACAAATGGAGCGAATGAACATCAATTAACATGCTTAATAACGTTGTAAAATTCATAGAAACTGCAGTATTATTTCAACAGTAGCAAAACAATAATGATAAAAATATCAAGGACCCGGTGCTGAGAGTATCAGGTCGAAAACCCGTTGGTCGCTGGTTCCAATCTGACCGTGGTTTAAATTTTTCATTTCACCTTCAATCATCACCCAGTATAAATAATACAAGTCTGCTAAAGCATGACTGCTATCTCAGATAGTCAAAGTGATAATATGAAAGTATGGAAGGAAAGGGAAATGTGACATGATAAGAATAATAAGTAGTTATACTATGAAATTACGTGAGGATCAAATTGCAACACTTCACATCATCATACAACAGAGCATAGAATACCAGTCAACTCTGCACCTCAACTTCATCAACTTTGAAAAGACCTTCGACAGCGTCGACCAAGAAGTCATTTACCAGGCAGCTGCCACCTCAACACTACACTTTTAGTGACACAAACATACATCAACCTGATTCAACAGCAGCTATATGCTATGCTATATGATGAGGCTACATGATGAGTGATCAACAATGGAAAGCACAGTGATGCCTTTGAAGTGAAGATAGGGGACAGGAGTAAGACAAGGTTGTCACCTACCATCACCGATCATCTTCTTGATTGTGGTCGACTCGACTCGACTTGGATCATGCAACAAATAACTGTGAGGAGCGAGAAGATGAGCATACACTGGCTGGACCGATGAAAAGACCCCAGAAGAAAATTCGGACTTCGCCTAAACAAGTTTGGTTGATGAATGACAGTCGCACAAACTACGAAGATCATAAGTGTTTCGTTGTTGTTGTCAGGATACGGACTGGCTATCTACACCTCTAAGATTGAATGTAATCGTCTTACTCATGATTTGTAGTTACTATTGTTTTTTACTCTTTTTCTAAATCTTAATTATGAACCGCATACTTTGTTAAACGCTTTCAAACCAATGACTTGATGAATTGAAGGATTATTCTTCCTTGTTCAGTTGTTTTCAGCCTTTTTGTCATCTAAACTTGTTTCAGCTTACAATACACATCAAGACAGATGATACCTTGACAACGTTTTATCCTTAAACTATGAGCCTATGACTATTATTATTATTATTTGTCCCTTGGGTTCCTAATGGAACATAGGGCTTCAGTAGCATGTCTCCATTACACTCTCTTCTCTGCAAACTTTTGTACCTGGCTCTACGACTGCCCACAAGCTCTCATTTCTTCCTCACACCATCTCCTCCATGTCACTCTCATCTCGGACTCCCAACTCGTCGTTTCCCATCTGAGTTCCAGTCCAGTGCCTGGCCTGTCACGTGATGTCCCCAGTTGGCCTTCTCAGTGTATGCCCAATCCATATCCACTTCCTTCTGCACATTTGTTGTGTAATAGGTTGCTGATTCTCATTATTCTGGCCATGTGAGCTTCAGTGTCAGTATTGACCCAGCGTAGGGAGTTGTTGATGAATGTTTGTAGTTTGTTGGAAGTGGTTTTCGTGACACGCCAACTTTCTGAACTATATAGCAGCATTGACTTGACATTGGTGTTGAAAATCTGTATCTTTATACGGAGTGTAGTAGATCTACACACTGATTTTAGGGTTAATGAAAGCCTGTCTTGCTTTTCCGATCCTGCTATTGACGTCCTCATCTGTGCCTGTGCCGCCTAGATAGGTGAAAGATAAACTAATGACAGTAGTTAAAATTTTCTATCATATATAATCATATTAAATGTTTCTTTTTTTTTTTGTATTTTTAACCTCTAGATGGATATTTATTCATCATGATCGACCAGAACCACGACTACTCTCTCTATTATACATTCTACCTGGTTATATTTGTGCACTACCAGCAGAGAGTTTAGTTGATCCAACTATTTATGAACAATATATTCAACCACTTATTATAATACTTGGTAAACTTCTTTATTTATCAACTGGATATTGTGTAAAACCACAATGGAATGAAATATTCACTAATATACATATTGATTTCAATATTAATCCTAGTAACAATCTACCAAATTCATGTCCAACTTTAGCTGAAGCTAGTGCAAGTTTTTTAGGCATGTTATTACATCGTTTAACAAGTTATAGTATTGATTTACGTTGTTTTAATCTACTTGGCAATATTGTTGGTAAATATAATGAAGATGATAATAATCATCAAACAGTAACTAATGCCTATGCTGAATCTTCATGGTGGACACCATTTGTTAATTTAAAATCAATTGTTAACTTTTGTCATAAACGAATTAATCGTAATTATAAACATCAGCATAGTTTTTGGTTTATTCCAACTTTAATGACAAAATCATTAGCTCAACAATTGATTAAAGCCTTTCTATATCCTATTATGCAACAGTTAGAAAATACTCATGATCATTTGAAGTGTTTATTACAGAATAAGAACAATACTCAAATGGTGATAATAATATGAATAGAAAAAGTTATGTTGAACAACGGAATCAATTGACATCATTAACAATATGGATGAATCATGTTACTAATGGTCTATCTGATGCTTTAGCACCTCGTAAACATACAGTGAATAAGAATACTACACAAATTGGTAATGAATTTATGCCATGGCATGGTTTAACAAGTTTATGTGATCTTAATAATGTATATAAAGTTATGATATCGGAGGATTTAAAAACTTCAGTATCAGATTGGGATATTACTTATTTTTATATGAGTAGTGAAAATGAGATCAGTGAAGAACTACGTGAATCAATATTTAAACTTGGTTTAAAGTTATTAGATGTAATTTCAAAGTTAATTGAACAAACTGATGATAATTTATTAGATGAGAATATTGACAATATAATGGTCAATAGTGTTGATGATATACAACAGAATGATACGATGGCGAAATCTAATCATTGTAAGTTTATCTGTTAAGTAAAATTTAAGTTATCTGTTACCTATTTCTTTTAAATTTTATGCTAGTAATAACATAGTATTATATTATAATGGAACTTAATGGAACTAGCACTTCATTACTTCACTCTGTTCTCCACAGTTTGCCCAGAAGCTTACATTTCTTCCTCACATGATCTCCTCTATGTCACCTTCACCTGGGACACCTAACTCATCGTTTCTCCTTTAGTTCATTACCAGTCAATCAGAGTTCCTTATTGCTTATTCTTTTTGGCTATCTGATCTTCAGTATTGAGCGTAGGCAGCTGTTGATGTATGTCTGTAGTTTGTTGGAAATGCTTTTCGTGACGCGCTGCCAAGTCTCTCAACCAGTATATATGCAAGCACTGACTGACTTGACTGAATTAGTGTTAAAACTTGGGATATTGTTCACGCCTTATCCTGAGTGGAGTGCAGAGGACTAGATCTCCACATTGATTTTAGATTAATGAAGGCCTGTTTTGCTGTCTCTCCTATCCTGTCTTTGACATCCTCATCTGTGTCTGTGCCACCTGTAGTTGAGACGATGCTGTCTAGGTAGGATTAAGTGAAAGAGACAACCTCCTCCAGATTTCTCCCACTGATGGTGATTGGTGCTTTTGTTGTTGTTGCTAATGTTGGTTAGGTATCTTCATCACCTGCCTTCTCTACGTTCACTGCCTCGCCTCTTCTGTCAACTTGTTAGTTTTCACCTGTGGTTCTTCGAATTTGTGCGACATGAGACAGACATAAATCATCATTGGCGAAATCCGAATCTTCTTCTGGGGTCTTTTCATCGGTCCAGCCAGTGTATGCTCATCTTCTCGCTCCTCACAGTTATTTGTTGCATAATCCAGTCGAGTTGAGTCAAGTCGAGTCGAGTCGACCACAGTCAGGAAGATGATCGGTGATGGTAGGTGACAACCTTATCTTACTCCTGTCCCTATCTACACTTCAAAGGCATCACTGTGCTTTCCATTGTTGATCACTCATCATGTAGCCTCATCATATAGCATAGCATATAGCTGCTGTTGAATCAGGTTGATGTATGTTTGTGTCACTAAAAGTGTAGTGTTGAAGTGGCAGCTGCCTGGTAAATGACTTCTTGGTCGACGCTGTCGAAGGTCTTTTCAAAGTTGATGAAGTTGAGGTGCAGAGTTGACTGGTATTCTATGCTCTGTTGTATGATGATGTGAAGCATTGCAATTTGATCCTCACGTGATTTGTTTATCCCCAAGCCAGCCAGCCTGTTTCGGTCGTAATTTTTAATGCAGAGCATGTTTTAGTCTCTCCAGGGTGCTGATAGTAAATGCCAAATGTTATTTGTCTATTGATAAATTTTGTTCAGAAAACACTCAGGCAGGAAGACAGGATCAATCGGTATGAGTTTGCATGATTGTATATCGTTTCAAATTGAAAGATTTTAGAAACAGAATGTCAACATGTCAAATAGTGAGAAAACGCAAACACTTGTATAACACTCATTGTATAGGATGTATTTTTACTTGTGTAATCCCGGCGTAGTATATTAGAACAAATAACAAGATAAACAAATATTTTGTATTATTCCTCAACGTTTCGATCTTGATAGGAAGATCCTTTTCAAGAGTATGAATCTGACACTGTTTTCAGGTTAATATTCAAGTTTTGGTACACATAGTGGTGACCTTTACAATCATTCAATTACATAGTGATATGGAGCAAGGATCAATGTAATACAGGTGAGTGAATAAGCAGTCTTAGATAACTGAAAACAAGAAGGGAAATAAGTTCGAAAGGCGCCTCACCTGTTTCGATTTAGCCGACTGTGCAGTTTCATAAACCTACAGCTCACAGCTTTACACACTAAAATGCACTGGTTCAAGTTAAGTTTTTATGCCGATTTTATCTGTTCAACTACTTGCCCTCGCTTTTTCGAATCATATATTTTTCGGAGGTTATTTTTACAAATTTTTTGCATAATGATGATCACGTTAACAGTTGTTGAGTACCACTTTATGTGGTCCCTTCAAACTTGTTACTTCAATCAACCAATCATTCAATATCAACATAGGACCAGGCATTACTGCATAACGGTCCAACTTGTCACACCGCATATCAGTACATCAAGTAGAAAGGTAGTGGGGTGAAGGGTGAAGATAAGAAGATTCAATCAAAAGAAATATAAAGTACGAGAAGAAAGGAAAGAAGAGCAACAAAATGGTGAGATTCGGTACAGTGTAGTTAAGATGAGGATAATGTGTGTATACTTCCGCAACACTGACATCGGTTCTCAGTCATGATGCATCACCTAGAGTCTCCAACCACTGGTTCCTCTTGTCCCACCGACCCCAACCACACAGTCTGTATCGTCCCACATAGCTCAAACCAACAGTCACAGACTTCATACATTGGTGCCATGTTTTAGTCTGGTTATCTCAGGCCTTTTTCCAGCTTGAACCTACTTCGGTCAACATTGTGTGACAAGGCAGACGGTGACTAGGCAAACGTAACACATGTCAGGGCCAAACATCTCGATCGATGAAGGTTCACAACCACCTCAACTGATTTACCTCTTCTCCTTAAAACTTTACACCTGACTTCTGCGTTGCGTTACTCAAGTCGTGACACAATAGAATACGGTCTATACTACGGAGGCAACGATGGTGAAACACTTGAATCAAGCCTTTTCATGTTTTCCACCTTCAGTGGCTATGTTTTCATAGCCATAGAGTAGAACAGAGTGGACTTCTGTGCAGTACACGCGACCCTAAATAGACAAACGGATATGACGACGGTGCCACAGGTGGCGTAAATTGGCAGAAGCCAACCAGCCGAGTTTTGTATTCGTGTGGAAATTTCGTCGGGTACTGACCCAGCTACAAGGGTTGATCCTACTTCTCACTCCACTCTCTATTGTTACACACGGTGGGGCACCGTTGAAGACCAATCCTGGAGCAAAAAGATTTGCATTTGGGTGGTGAGAAATGCATCGCAAACACTCTCGAATTGCCACTCAAAGTGTTCATATGACTCTGCATCTTGTCAGCACCTTCACCCAAAGGGAATATGTTGGCTCCGTGCATTTGTGTGCTAATACCTAAAATGTATTTTATTCATTATTTTATTTGAACACAAACATCGTACCGAGATATTCACCACACAATAATATAATAACATTATGAAGGTATACATTGAAGGGAATTGAAAAACCAAAAAAAGAAAAACACAAAAAGAATAGGATGATTATAATCCCAGTCCAGTAAGGTACATTCGAAACGTAGCACTCATTACTTATAAGCACCAGAAGATAGGAGGAAGGTATAACATGACAGCCACTAGTTTCGATTCTCAGCCGTATCCGATATCGTCTCAGCCCATTGAGTTGTGTGATTTCTCGGACCTCACTTAGAGAGTCGTGATGAACTAACAGATGGCAACCCAATTCAATTATCCTTCATCCCATGGCTCCACATCATACACTAACCACCCCTTCGCTTCTTCTATCCAGTCCGTAGGGTTAGCAAACAATGAATGGCGTGGAAGCTATAGGGATGAAATGCTTAACTCATACTCAACCCACCGAAACCAGATGACTTATTTATTGAATGACGTTCTGCATCATGCTCAATTACACGCTATCATACCTCAGAATTAATTGCATAGTGTTGCCACCGGATACGAATAATCCTACGGAGACAAAGATGATTGAACACATAGAATCATCGCATATCCTCAGCTTGGAGAGGCCAGGTTTCACTGCTCGCACCGAAGCGTTACAAACCCAACCTTTTACTGCCTGACTAACAACGTGACGGCGCTAGTGGTCGGCCAGATTGGCGTATGCCACCCTGGCTTTGGATATGCGGTTGGAAATTTCACCACTCACACCTCCATTAGCATTCACACAACTACCTAGATATACGAACTTCTCAACTACTTCCAACGGCTCACCACTAAGATTGAACTCAGGCACAGGCTCCTGCCAATCTTGCATGAGTACTTTGCACTTTAATGATGCAAAGCATATACAGTACCTACAGATACTAATCGCCGACTGATTAAATGCGACTTGAGCAACCTGTGCGTTATTGCACAGTGAGATGATATCGTCTGCTTATTCAAGGTCGTAGATCTACATCACCATGACGCACTCCCTTCAAAACTGTCTCAAGAATGTCATTGATGACAACGTTACAGAGGAATGGGGGAATTGGGCAACCCTGCCTAACCCCACTGCTATTTTGGAACAATGGAGACAGGTGGTTGTATCCCCTCGTTCTACGTGAGGTGTTATTATATAAGGATTTCAACATGTTAAGAGTTTGTATAGCCGTATAAGATTGTTGGCTGCATGCGTTTATCTGTTAATACCTAGAATGTAGGTGTTGTTAGTATGCAGGAAGAATTTCAGTACTTAGTTTGGTTAAATGATCCTTAAAATATCTTCATATCATCTAACATAGATATTTTTTAAACTTCCTACACAGAAGATGAACTTACTTGGTTATATTCTTGCTCCTTGTTCTTTTGCTATAGGATTTGAGATCATGTCAAAATATTTTTGTAATGATAAATAAGTACTCATTGGTTACAACTCTACTTTATTCTACCTAAGGAGTTTTCCGAATAGTAAATTACTATCACCACTATCATCATAAATTGTCACAGCATAAGTGTTGCTCATTGTCAAGTGGATGCGCATCCACGTAATCCTTGAGTTGTATATACATCGATAGTTTCCGTAAACTCGGATAACTTTCAAATATTCTTTCTCTGATCTCAACCTATGATATGTATATGCATCGTTGTGTAGCGCTTAGCACTCTAAACTTTGAATCTAGTTACTCGAGTCTCAGGGAGGCTCAGGGCATCTGTACAGTCGTGGTTAATTAGTTTAGGGAAGTTGGGTTTGAATCGTTGGGTCATGGGTTGGAAAGCCCCTCCACCTCACGAAATTTTCATATATATACATATAGTTCCTCTTCATTTAAGCTGTTAGTGAATTTAATGTGTTTTTCATTGCTTACAGTTAGTTATCTAACTTACAGTTGTCTATATTTGTGAATGTAATTAAAGAAGTTACTTATAATCTCACTATGATAAGTAATTTGTCCGATTTAAAAGACCACTCTATCAACTGATGAAACAACCAATCACGTTTGTCTATTTTTCGACAACCTGATTGGTTATTTTAGCAGTTGCTAGAGTGGCCTTTAAAGTTGGTCAATAGTTTTATCCGGCGATTTTAAAGGTGACTTTAAAGGGCCACCCTAGTAACTGTTTAGATAACCAATTACAATCGTCTATCCTATGAAAAACTATCCTAATCAGTAGCAATTCTGAAACTTGATTGGTTATTTTCGTATTCGCTAGGGTAACCTTTAAAGTCACCTCATTTTTACCATAGATACTATTTGAAAATGTTTCAATTATTTTTGATTTCTTTTTTTTTTTCATAGATGGTGATTCTACTCCAAAATCTATCTGGTTAGTATTAAATCATGTTCAAATAGTCAATTTATTAGAATTAACTCATAGAGCTGCATTCAATTTACCTATGCTTGAAAGAAGACCATGCCTTCTTCAAATAGTTTATGGTCCATATGGTTTATTAGCATCAAATTTAGGTGCAAGTAATTGTTTACATTCATTAAATCGAAAGTATAATAATGAAAATTGTTATTCAAGTAAACTTATACCTAGTTTGAATAGTTTAACAGGTATGTATTCTCCAACAACATTATCAAAATATGAATGTGGTGAAGAGTTAAAAACATATTTTGGTTGTACATTAATCACTTATACAGCACGTATACAAGAACGTCTTCATACTTTATTTATGAGTCATAAAAGAAAACAATTAATGTTAACTACTAAAAATTCTAATGATCAATTAATATCACGTTCAATTGCTAGTTGTTATATAATACAACCATCATTGCCTATTATTAAATTAACTGAAATTCTATGCAGTCTTGCAATATCTCCACATCGATCAGATATTCAACAATTTGCTATATGGTTACTTAATTCATATATAATTAAATTTATTCCTTCTGTAAGTTAATATTTTCAATAATTATTTATGATTGTTTTGTTTATTGTATTATATATATAATTAAATTTTGAGGGAGTTGTGGAGATTTGGAATTATTTCAAGTTGTTATTCATCGTAGACTGACATCAGTTGGAGGAATAAAGGAAACCTGGGAGCACTGGACAGCTGTTTCGTCCTAGAATGGGACTCCCCAGCAGTGCGCACCCACGACCCCACCAGCAGGGATCGGACCCGCGACTTTCAGGTTCCGCGGCCAGCCACTGGGTCAGAATCCAATGCTCCATATTTCCAACTCCTGTTAGCTCACGATATATAGCGCAACCGCCACCCAATGTCATCGTTGAGTATTTGTCCTCATGGCCATCAAGCTTTGACTCCACCGGTCACGACTTGTCATTGGAACTTCGGGAATACTTCTCGAAACTTGTCACCAATGAGCACCAGTTCAATTAAATTTTGAGGGAGTTGTGGAGATTTGGAATGATTTCAAGTTGTTATTCATCGTAGACTGACATCAGTTTGAGGAATAAAGGAAACCTGGGAGCACTGGACGGCTGTTTCGTCCTGGTATGGGACTCCTCAGCAGTGCGCACCCATGACCCCACCATACTAGGACGAAACAGCTGTCCAGTGCTCCCAGGTTTCCTTGGTTCCTCCAACTGATGTCAGTCTACGATGAATAACAACTTGAAATCATATATAATTATTATATTTGTCCTTTAAGAGTTCCTAGTGGAACATAGGGGGCTTCAGTAGCACGTTGACATTTCAATCTCTTTTCTTCAGTCTTTCTAACCTGACTTCATGGCTGTCTTGAAGCTTTCATTTCTTCTTCATACGGTCTCCTCCATGTCATCCTCGGCTCAGTTGCTCAACTCGTCGTTTCCCCTTTGGTTTCCACTCAAGAGCCTGGTCTGACGTGTGATGTCCCTAAACTGTCCAATCTAATCGATTTCCACTTTCTTCTACTGTATATTTTGTTGAGCGATGGGTTCTTGATTGATTGGTTGTCAGCCCAGAGTTCTTTGTTGCTTATTCTTATTCTTTCTTGTCATCTGATCTCCATTGTTAGTATCGAGTGAGCGTAGGTGGCGGCTGTTGATGCATGGAAATGCTGTTCGTGATTCGCCAAGTTTCTGAACCATCATATAGAAGCACTGACTTGACTGAATTAGTGTTGGAAATCCTGAACTTGTTCAAGCTTTATGCTGAGTGCAGCGCAGTGCTGTAGATCACCATACTGATTTCAGATTAATGATGACCTGTTTTGCTTTTCCAATCCTAGCTTCGAAATCTTCATTTGTGACTGTGCCGCCGCCTGCAGTTGAAACGATACTGCCCTGCCGAGGTAGATGAACGAGACAACTTCCTTTAGATTCCTTCCATTGAAGATGATTGGTGCTTGTTGTTGTTGGTTGGGTACTTTCATCAGCTGTGTCTTCTCTACGTTCACCTGAACGAAGTCCCATCTTACTTCGCTGCCTTGCATTGCCTGTTCTGCCAACTTGTTAGTTTTCACTTGTAGATCTTCGAGTTTGTGCGACATTAGACATAAATCATCATCGGCGAAATCCAAATCCAGAAGTATTAATGGTTGACCAACTCTTAGCGTGATAACAGAAGGAAAATATTCTTCACTACATAACTACCAGTTAATGATAAGTTTTCGTCTAGTCTGTAGGTACGTTGTAAGTGAGAAAGATGGGCGTAGCGGTGATATAGTCCGGCTCAACCAACCTGAAAATCTCAGTGCTTGTGAAGTATCTCTATTAGCTGCAGTTTAAGTGTGATGTGTAAAACTGTTTAGTAAATTACAATACATTAGATGGCTGTTTATGATTGCTCTTTGGTTCCAGGTAAATAGTTAGTTGAAACAAGTAAGTCTTGCTTATAAGGTTATGAACTGTAATCAATCCAAATGTTGTACATATGATTAACTACCATCTGGTGAAATGCATTATGTTAATAGATGTTGAATCGAAACGAAATAGACTCAGCGATCAAGTGCATGTTCGGGTATTAAGCAGTAATTCACGCCTATTGTATACTTGTTAATAATACTACATTTCTGTCAGTGCTTTATTTGGTGAAGTGGGGTTCGGACCCACGACCTATTGATTGAAAGTCACAAACACCGCTGGTTTGAACTTCTAAATGTCTAATCCTTCACGTATAACCGAATACTTTGATCTTACTCCCTTCAAGTGGTTTGATCGAACCCTGTAGAAGATTTTAAATGAGTATCCTGAGTTCAAAAATTGTTCTGTTATTCAGCTGAAGATGCATTTCCGTTCTTCTTTTACTAGCCATCCTGTGTTCACAATCACGTTTTACAAGTTGGTACATAGTACATGCGATGTACTCAACTCCATAGGACCAAGTAAAGTGGTGTATATATATTAATGTGGCTCCATGCGTCAGCTTGTCTTCTACCCATTTTTTCAAAATGTTTCTTGTAGGAGAAAATGTACCGAAAGTTGGCGGTGAAGTATATTCTTTTAGTGTTCTACTAGAGTTCCTCGAAGATTTTTAAGTTCTCTATCAACAATGTCCTCGGTGTATACTATCCTAATCTTCGAGGGAAGTGAATGGATAAGATTTCTCCTCCTACATAGAGAGATCCCACTTAAGAAATTAATAAACTGTCCGTTTCATTTAGTGTTTCTGTAAGCATTTTCGTGGCTTCAGTTTGATGTCATCAGTTCGCTTATTGGTAACAGTAACAACATAATTTTCTAATTCTACTCTGTCATCAGCGCGGATAATTGGAAAAGAATGTAGAATTTTTGTGACCGATTCTATTCACATTCAGGTAATCGGGAATGGATAGCGTCAATATGATTTAAAGTATCTCGCTTCAAAGTGTGCAAGTTAGGCGAAATATAGAGTTCCATGTGAGATTCTCCTGAAATGTTTTAGCATATTCATATTTCTCTAGGCATTTCTCCGAGTAGTAAATTTGAGAAAAAAACACAGAAACTTGTCCAGTTCCTTTACCGTCATACATTCTTTGTTACTCTTCAAACAGCTAAATACACTCATATGATAGCATAAGAAAAGACAAAATTCAAGTGCCTGAATTAGTCAGCCACACTTTATGTGGTTCGGTGGTGTAGTGGGTAACAGTTCGGTGTTTTAAGCGATCACTCTCGAGTGCGAACTCTGGTGGGACAACATCACTCACTGGGAAGCAGTCATATCTAGCTGAAGAGTCCCGAATAGGACGAAGTGCTCATCCTAGATTTCGCTGGTAGCCGCTATCCATCACTGTTTTCGTTTGTTTTTTTTCTGAATTTCTTCCATAGATTGGTACACAAGTGGTCAAATCAATGATTCATCGTTTGGATAATATAATCCCAGATATAAAGACTTCAATATCTTTGTCTAATTCAACATTGTTATGTTCATCATCATCTTCCGCCGTCTCCTCCTCCTCATCATCATCAATATCGTCTTTATCTGCTGCTACATCTACCTCTTCTATCATTTCACTTGATGCTAAACTAAAAGTTATACATCGTCGACGTATCTCTATAATTATGTTATTAAAAAGTATTTATTGTCGTGATTTATGGAATCGTGAATATGATGAATTATTTCGACTAGATCCTAATATATTTGTTCAATTCTGTATAAGTCTTATTCAACAATTAATTAATTTTGATAAAGAGAAATCAATTTGGCTTAATAATTCTTTGAATAATCATCATAATGATTCATTGAATCATCAACAGCGTCAATTAAAACAACTAAAAATGAATCGTGATTATTTAGAAAATTTAATTAATCAAATTTTATTATCACTTAAACAATTTCCTGTTAATTGTATATTATATTTTCCAGTCAATTATAAAGTAGATAAAATTCCATCTAATAGTTGGGTGTGTAAACTTTATAATGAAGTTGATTATTGTTTAAATGTATTTCAGTATCCTTGTAATATTGAAACATTGAATACTTCAAATAAATTCATTAGTAAAGTATTTGAAAAACGTCGTGAAGCTGTAATATTATTTACACAAAATATTTCTGAATATATTGTTGATATATGTTCAAATCTATGTAAAAATATTTCATCAAAAGAAGAATTATTAGTTGATAATACTACTCATAACAACAATAGTAGTAGTAGTAGTTCGAGCATAAGTTGGATGTTTATATCAACATTATTAAGATTTTTACGTTTTCCTATTAATCGATCATTAATACCTGAATGGAATAGACAATCTAATCGTTTAATTCCACCATTTATATATCCACCATCTTTAAAATTTATTCAAATCACCTTAGAATTAATTGTATATCAACAAACTGATGTAGCATTTTCTGCATGTAAATGTATATCAAGGTTAATTTATCATCTTTTATCTTATTATCGTATACCATCACGTAAATGTATTTATCCTATGGATGTATGTAAAAAAAAATTGACTGAAATTAATCAACTTGAACATTATCCAATAAATAATAATAATAATAATTTTAGTATAATCCCTGGACCACGTCCAGATAATTTATGGTTATTATATAATGAAAATGCTAAAGTATTACAATCAAATGAAGCATATCAATCACATCATCATATTGGATCTATGCCTTATGGTTATGTGTAAGTTGTTAACAATTATTTATTATATAAAATTAATATTATTTTACAATTTTCTTACAGTTTCTAGTATATTTCACTAAGAAAGATTTAAGTTATCCTAATGACTATTGAAATAACCAATCAGATTTCAATATTTTTTTATCATAAAATAAAAGAATCTTATTGGCTATCTCAACAATTACTAAATTGATGATTAAACTCGCCTAATTGATTTATTTACATTTGTGTATTGATGGTAGACGTAAACATTCTGCTCTTTACTCCAGTTTAGGTTTCTTATTGAGTTATATAGTTAATGAACTCAGCGATATCCTCCTAATACAGGTCACAATTATTGTTCCTACTTGAGTTTACTATGTTCTACTGAATTCTAAAACTAAGTTAATTCGATAGCTTATACAATGCCGGATACAGAGGAAATGTGTATAGTGTTAATGATCTAATCCGAATGTCAATTAATAAGAATAAGCATCGAACACATATTTGACATTCATAATTGATTGATTTTTGCTTCCTTTTCCTCTAGCCCTGAATATACAACAATACTACTGTATATTCTGATCTATCCATTCCTTTATCATTTGGCGTTTCATTTACACTTGGCAACCATTAAAATAATCCTATTCGATAAAGAAGAATTTACTAGACGTTTTCATTTCGACAAATCATACTTATTACAAATATATATCCACTAATAGCTAATGAGGACACACTAAAAATCAAATCGACTTTATCTCAATCTCAAGAAAATGGAGACGCAGTCTACTTAACACAAGGTCAAGAAGAGGAGCAGATGTAGGTTCAGACCACTATCTAGTGCAAGGAACCTTCCAAATCAAGTTAAAAGCCTTCAAGGAAGCTGGTGATAGACCTCAATTCAAGTACAACACTAGGAAACTGAAGGATGAAACTACAAAGGAGATCTTCAAGCAGCCATCAAGACAAAATGGGAGATATCGAGCAACATCCCTGAAGAAACCTGTGTGGAAGAACACTGGAACTCTTTAAAAGCTATGTGGAAAGAAACCTGCACAGCCGTATTAGGAAGGAAGAAGAAAGAAGACAAGGAATGGATCTCGACGGCTACCTGGAAGCTGATAGAGGAGAGGAGGATGGTGAAGCAGAAGATAAACCAGTGCAAGGATGCTCAACGACAAGAGGAACTGAGCACAATGTATAAAACACCACACTGGACAAAGAAGTGAAGAAGAGTGCACACAAAGACAAAAGACACTTTTACGACACACTGGCAAGTGAAGCAGAACAGGCTGCAGGTTGGTGAGAGAGACCTGACGACATTGTATCAAATAACCAGGTTACGTGCTGTCTGGAAGAGATCAACACAGCAGAGACGAAACCAATAAAAGATGATGACGGAAATTTAATTAGGAAAGAGGAGAAATAAAGGAAACAATGGGCCGACCACTTCAAGAAGCTCTTGAATCGACCACCGCCACCACCTGCACTTCGTCCAGAAATACCACCTGCAGCCGCTGAATTACAAGTGAACATAAATCCCCCAACGAAAATGGAAGTCCTGAACGCCATAAAGCTACTGAAATGCGGGAAAGCAGCAGGACCAGATGGAATCCCACCAGAAGCACTGAGAACAGATGCAGAGACAACAGCGGACATGCTCACACCACTATTGCAGAAGGTGTGGAAGGAAGGGAAGGTACCTGACGATTGGAAGAAGGGTTACCTTGTCAAACTGCCGAAGAAGGGAGACCTCAGTGCTTGCAAGAACTGGCGCGGAATCACTCTCCTGTCCACCCAATGCAAGTAAAATATTAAGCCGCATCATCCTGGAGAGGCTTAAAGACGCACTGGATTCAAAACTGCGACCGGAACAGGCAGGCTGCATTCAGGAAGTACAAATCATGTGCGGACCAAATTGCAACACTTCGTATCATCATAGAACAGAGCGTAGAATGGCAATCAGCTCTATACCTCAACTTCATCGACTTTGAAAAGGCCTTTGACAGCGTCGACCGAGAAGTAATTTGGAAACTGCTTCAATACTACGGAGTACCGCAAACCTTTATCCGCCTCATTCAACAACTATGTGAAGATGCCACATGCCAGCCAAGTAATTCACAATGGAAGTTCAGTGGTGCTTTTGAAGTGAATACAGGTGACAGGAGTGAAACAAGGTTGCCTACTATCCCCCATGATATTCCTTATTGTGGTGGACTGGATCATGCAGCAAACAGTAGGCAGCGAGAAGAGGGGGATACACTGGACGACGGAAAAGAACCTAGAAGACTTGGATTTCGCCGATGACTTATGCCTAATGTCACATAAACTTGAAGATCTGCAGGCAAAAACTAACAAGTTGATAGAAGAGGCAGTGAAGACGGGACTTCAGGTGAATATAGAGAAGACAGAAGTGATGAGGATACCGCACCACCACCATCAACAACAACAACAACAAACTCCAATCACCGTCAACGGGAGAAACTTGAAGGAAGTAACCTCCTTCACTTATCTAGGAAGCTTTGTTTCAACTACAGGCGGGACGGACGAGGACGTCAAAGTCAGAATCGGAAAAGCAAGACAGGCGTTCATTAGCCTGAAACCAGTGTGGAGATCTTCTGCACTCAGCATCTGGAACAAGATACGGATTTTCAACACCAACGTCAAGTCAGTGCTTCTGTATGGCTCAGAGACTTGGCGCGTCACGAAAGGCATTTCCAATAAACTACAGACATTCATCAACAACTGCTTACGCTCGCTGCTGAAGATCAGATGGCCAGAAAGAATAAGCAACAAGGAACTCTGGGAACGAACCAACCAAGAACCTATCACGCAACAAATATGCAGGAAGAAGTGGAGATGGATTGGCCATGCACTGAGAAGGCCGACGGAGGACATCACGCGTCAGGCCAGTTGCTCGAGTGGAATCCCCATGGGAAGCGACGAGTTGGACGTCCGAGGGTGACATGGAGGAGGTCGTGCGAGCAGGAAATGAGAGCTTCTGGGCTGTCGTGGGACCAGGTTCAAAAGATCTCAGAGAACAGAGGTCACTGGAGGCGTGCTACTGAAGCCCTATGTTCCACTAGGAACCCAAGGGACTAATAAATATAAATAAATAATAGCTAATGAACCAATACAAGGTCAAAAATAATAGTGACAAGGTCATCCCAAGGTCATCCGAAATTGCTTAGATAGATTATGACCAAGGTCAAATCAGGGATTGAATATATCCCATTGGTATTGCTGGATTGCTAAACCTTCTGTTTTTGTTGAGGTGATGAATGGGTACTCCCTTTGAAATATTTAATTTCGCTTTATAAATGACTTTAAAAGAAGATCCCGTCGAAGCAAAATCACTAGACTTAACCAGATGCTCAAGAATTGAGCTGTTAATCACTATGTATTCACCTTTAGACAGTCACGCACTATTGTGTTCTGTGAGGCGTTTGGATAGAATACACTTTGTTCAGTCTATGTAACCGGCTTCATAAGAGCAGGTGAATTGCTAAGCACATATCAAGGTTGAAATAAATTGGCAAGATAGTCAAGAATTAATTGTCCAAAACAATGAAGGAGACCTTTTCCACACAGCTTTGGGTTTTTTCCAATCAACTAATGATCCAAGGGTGTTTAAAGGATAATCTAACAGAGAGAGAAGTTGTTTAGAAGTGTTAGTAGTTGTATGATCAGTCTGTTTCCCTTTTTTGTTAGTATCATCTCTAATTTACTACTGACGATTGGTTCTTTTTTATACTTTTGGTTTTATACTACTCACTATTATTCAGTAGTATAACTCATTTTTCTAACATGTTACTTTTGCAACTTTCGGCGTTTCGATTTTTAGTTTCCTGGGGGAAAAAAGCGTTATCGGTAAACTACTCTATTGGTAGGAGAGTTTATTCGGTATACCTTATACATCCATTCCTTTATTGCTTTAAGGAGGTGACTTTCAACCTGTGGTGAGTGGTTCAAACACCTTTCCACCCTATCGCGACTTGGACAACCAGGTAATACTATCATTATCCCTCACACAATTATAGGTGTAGCTTATTATCTACTATAGGAATGAATGTACAAAAAGTTGTTTTTTCAATGATTGTTCAAGTCATGTCAAAGCATCAGTAGAAATATCATTTACACCATGTTTTTTTTTCCGGGTTACATAATACACATAGTAAAAGATTGATTTGAGTTGAAATCTAGTCTTTAAAAATGCATTTTTACGCGTTTTTCTCTTCTTTTTTTACTTCTCCTAGTTACTATCCAATCGAATTATATATCTATGATCCAGATTGTATTATGCCTTATCCAGTATTCAATGAGAATAAACAATTAGTTTTAATGAGTTCAAACAAAGTGTCTAGTATTATCATAGATTCTGATCTGAAAACTAATAGTATTGATTATTATCAATTATGGTTATCACATTTTACTGCTAATGATGAACAAAATGATTTAAGACAACAATGTGCTTGTTTATTAGCTACAAAATTATCTAGTCCATTGAAAGAAACACGTGAATTTTGGGTATCATTAGCTAAAAATTTATTGTATATACATCGTGCTTATCTTGATCAACCAAATTTTTCATTTCCAATACGTTTTTTAATTCATGTATCACTTATTGCTTTTGGTCCAGAGAATATGTTAGAGCATATTGAAAATTTTATAAAAACATTATTAATTACATTGCCTAATTCTAATTTACCTCTTGATGGTAAAGCAGAATTTATTGGGTTTTTTTGGGTATGTGCTACACTTGATGTATTGATAAATGCTAGTTTTCTATGGCAACGTCAATGGAAATATTATTTTTGGGGTCGTATGATACCACGTATATTATGTTGGTCAGAGATTTGTGCTTTAAAAGTTTCATTGAATGATTTAGCTTGTTCAATTGATGAACGATTACATCCAACTTTAAAACTTATTAAATGGGCTAGAACACAATATGCTGGAAGATTTGCTGGTGGTAGAGATGATATTGATCATATTATTATACGTAAGAAGAAATTAACAATTATTGATTATTACTAGTATTTTGTAATGTTCATTTGTTTGGTAATTAATTAGACTACTTGAGACAACAGTAATTCAGTAGTATGTGAATTTTCAGTAAAATTTGGAGTTGATTTTCCAATATCAGCTTATCGATTCATCTATCTGTTTTCTGAACTATAAAATCTGCCTACTGATCAGCTCTCATATTCATTTTAGTTGTTAAGAATGGCTCATTCTGGAAATAAGACTGATTGGCGGGCATTTGGCTTTTCAGCGATAAGTTGCAGGTTGGAATCCCGCTTCAGCCTGTGTTACCAGATATCATCTTCAATCCTGATGCATAATGTGCAGTTTATAGCCCCTAATACATAAAAAACATTTACCAGATAGACTTACATTCTTACAGCTATTTTATTTAGCCATGTGTATGTGTGCGTGAGTAACTGTAAGTGAGTGAGTGAGTGAGTGAGTGAGTGAGTGAGTGAGTGAGTGATTGAGTGAGTGAGTGAGTGAGTAGGCACAGTTTATGAAAAGTATGAATATTACCAAAGACTAGGAAGCCAACTGAATGTGAGATGGTCAGTTGATGAAGTTAAGTCGGAATAGGTAGATATTATTATTGGCGGTTAGTTTGCATGATGAATTGTGATTAGGTGAATAAAAGAATTAAAGCTTTCATGCAAAATTTTTACGATTTGCTGAAACTGGGACTGGCGGATCTTTTCCTAAACATTATGAATTTTTTTTGTCCTAACATCTCTGTGTATCTTCAAGTACTCTTATCAGTACTTCGCGGTGAATTACTGAGTTTACGTCTCTTTCTACTGGAATATTTCCAACCAGAGTCATCTGTACGTGATTACTCAAGTGACATTATTATGGAAAATTTCGAAATTTGGAGATCAGCAATCACTCACAGACTCATGCATAAAGTGTGTGATTTAGTAACATCTGTTGTATGAAACTCTTGTCAATGATGCCATCTATCTATCTATCTATCTATCTATCTATCTATCTATCTATCTATCTATCTATCTATCTATCTATCTATCTATTTATGCATTTTTTCTACGTGAAGATGAATTTTCAGCTTATAACTCAGTAGATAGTTATCAGTTGACTAAGTTTGCGTCTCCATAGGAATTTGAGTTATCAAGGAGTCGAACAGTAGTAAGTAATAGACTGTATAACCTTGAACAATTAATGATCATTATAGTCAATAAGCTCAGGCACTTGAAGCGACATCTACTGGTTTCAAAATTCACTGAACGATATTACTCCTATTGATTAGACAAGTTTTCTGTTATCGGCCCTACAAATATAATTATGAACTGTAAATCGTTATATTTCTTTATATGATTACACAAGTCATTCAGTCAATATGAACTGGTGATTTAGAATTACTATGTAATAGTCGAAGTGGTCGGTCATACCCCACCTTATAAGAAGAGATGGAAACAGGATAAAACAATAATGAAATTCTATATAATGATTTCAGTGAAGAAAAAGTGTGTGTGTGTGTGAATGATGAGATAGATTTTGAACCATATCACCTAGAGTTTATGATAATTTAAACTACCTTTAGTCGATTCAGAACCAATCTAAGGGAAACCTGAAGCTAAAAAGGCGTTTTTACCCAGGTTGACATTCCAATTGCAGAAGATTTCAAATCGTAGATTTCTAAATCAACCCAAAGAGACCGAGGTACTAAATTTTTTTTGTTATATATGTTCATCTTTTTAAGAGGGAGGTATTATATACCTCTAATTTTGCCTGGTATTTGCTAATAACCTTTAAGTAACTTAAGTATTGCTGCTCTCATCCCCTCTTGGCGCTGTTGTTAGCTTTTTGTTGTTCCACCTACTTCTGAAGGCTGAACTATCATCGGTTGTTAACTCCTCTAACCGTATATATGGATTAAGCGTTTTTCAAAGTCGTTTAGAATTGTAAATACATATTCAGCATCGTTCTCAACTGCTGTTAAGACAGTAAAAGCACTCTAGCAACAATCCGTCTTCTCTTTTTGTTTTCGCTTGCGGGTGGTTATTGTTGTGGTGGTGGTCGACGTTCTAATTAGCGGTTAGAGTAGATTTTTTTCGCCCGTTATGGTTTTATTGCTCATAGACTGCTAGTTCACACTACCGGTCATGGCGAATATGCTAATATAGTCATGAATTTGGATATACTGATTTAGATGAAGGTAAAATGTGTGAATGTCTCTCCAGTGCTAAGATTGTTTCTCAACCATATTATCTAGAGTCTACGATTATTTAAACCTTTGAATGTGTGAAATATACTTAGCTTTATTATAAAGTAAAATCATTCATTACGAATCAAGGCCTGACGTTAAAACCCGGGTGCCGCGTCACGTTTTTCTTGCGCGGTCTAGCGGTTAGGATTCCTGGCTTTCACCGAGGCGGACCCGGTATTTTTAAAATTCTAGAAGATTTGGATTTCCCCGATGACTTGTGTCTTATGTCACACAAACTCGAAGATCTACAGGCGTAAACTAACGAGTTAAGTGAAGAGGCAGGGCAGCCAAGGAAGACGGGACTTCAAGTGAAAGTAGAGAATGCACAGATCATGAAGATACCCAACCACCAACAACAACAACAACAAGCTCCAATCACCATCAACAGGAGAAACTTAAAGGAAATAGCCTCTTTCACCTATCTACGCAGCATACTCTCAACTACAGGCGGCACCACAGACGAGGACGTCAAGGCCAGCCAGGATCGGAAAGACAGCAAGACAGGCGTTCATCAACCTGAAACCAGTGTGCACATCTTCAGCACTCCACTCCACTCCACTCAGCATAAAGCGTCAACAACATCTGGATTTTCAACTCCAATTCAGTCAAGTCAGTCAGTGCTTCTGTGTGATGGTTCACAAACTTGGTGAGTTACGAAAAGCATTTCCAACAAACTACAGAGACTCATCAACAAGTGACTGCGCTGGCTCGTTGTTACTGAAGATCAGATGGTGATAATAATGAGAATAAGGAACAAGGAACTCTGACTGGCTGGCTGGCTGGCTGGCTGGCTGGCTGGCTGGCTGGCTGGCTGGCTGGCTGGCTGGCTGGCTGGCTGGCTGGCTGGCTGGCTGGCTGGCTGGCTGGCTGGCTGGCTGGCTGGCTGGCTGGCTGGCTGGCTGGCTGGCTGGCTGGCTGGCTGGCTGGCTGGCTGGCTGGCTGGCTGGCTGGCTGGCTGGCTGGCAACAAACCAACGAAGCAAGAAGCTATCACTCAACAAACAAGTATGTGGTGGGAGGAAATGGAGATGGATTGCACGTAGCACACATTGAGAAGACCGACTGGAGACATCACGTGACAGACCAGGTATCCGAGTGGAACATAGATGAGAAACGACCAGTTGGGCGTCCCGGGTGAGGGTGACATAGAGGAGATGGTGTGAGGAAGAAATGAGAGGTTGTGGGCTGTAGTGGAGTGAGGTTGAAAAGATTATAGAGAAGAGAGTGTAATGGAGACATGTTACTGAAGCCCAATGTTTCCCTAGGAACCTAAGGAACAAATAATAATAGTGTAATAATTTTTTTTCACTTTTTTAAATCTCTAGGTAATCCTGTGTGTAAAAATCCTGAGGCAATCAATGGTAATTCATCTTTGCCAAAGAATGAATCATCATCGTCTACAATGAATACAATTCATTTGTCGTCATCATCAACAGCTGGTGGACCATTACATCGTGTCATTTTTATGTATGAATATTGTATAAGTCGTGTTATGCTTAACGTGAATCATGATGTCCATTGTTTACATCCATTATGGGATTGGGCTGTACAAGGTCTACTAGACTGTTATTCTAATGTACAGAATAATAATAATAATAATAATTCACAATTGAAAATATCATCTTGTCAACATGTAGTGAATAAAAATCATGGAATCACAACTATCATAGAAGATAATTGTCCATTATGTTTACTAGTTGAACAATTACCTATACATCATCGTCGTGTATTCTGTGAAAGAATTTGTCATTTATTTATACTTTCATTAGATTGGATTGGTATATCATTGTATAAAGGATTAATATCTTCTATACAAAACAAAATATCATTAACATTATCATCATACCAGTCTGATATATGGTTATATCAAGCATGTGATAATTCTATATGGATAAGAGATATAGCTGCAGAGATGGCTGCATTTCGTATAACATGTTTATTTAATATAATGAAGTATAGAACTAAAAATAGTTTGAATACTATTATGTATAAATCAGAAAAGATTGAATTCACTTGTCTAACAAAACAATTATCATTTATTGATTATGAAATAGTCATTAAAAATCTCCTACAAATAAACGATAATGAAAAACTAGTCGGTGGAGATTTCTTATTCAACTTGGTAAGTAATACGCATATATGTATATACAGAGAGAGAGATTATTATTTTCGTTTTCTGATTGGACAATTTGATTCTTACGTGACCTTGACGATTAACGAGCCAATTACCAGAGTGACCTTCATGTGTTTCAGGAAATTCCAATTAAAAAAGTGAAATAATAATTCGGGAATTAGCTTATGCAGAAAAGCTTTTCACTGCTTAAATATGATAGCGATAGGAAGCAGGATGCTTGAAGGACTTTTTTGACTTGAGAATTCTCCTATACATGATAATTATTATTTGTCTTTTGGTTCGTATTGGAACATACGGATTCACTACCACATCACCATTTCACTCCCTTCTCTACAGTCCTTTCAACCTAGCTCTACAACTGCCTCCTCACATGATCCCCTTCATGTCACACTCACTTTGGACACCCAACTCGTCATTTTCCGTTTGGCTTCCACTCAACACCATACCCTGGTCTCACCTGATGCTTCATGTCCCCAAACCGTCTTCTCACTGTATGTATAGTCCAATCCAATCCAATCAACCCCCTTTTTCTTCTTCTGCATATTTGTTGTGCTATAGGTTGTCGGTCGGTTCGTTATTAACCAGCCAGCCACCCAGCTCGAGTTCCTTGACCTCCTTGACCTCTGTTGGCAGATAGACTCTTTTGCCGGATGCTTTGATACTGTCGGATATTCATATTGTTATATTTTTCTTCTTGAGTACCAGCGAATTCTAGGACGTCCCTTTTCTTCCTACTTTGGACTCATCAACCGGATGAACCTGCCGTGTTAGTCTAGTGGATAACTCTTCGGTGTTCGATGCGATGTTTACTGGGTTTCAAGTCTCATTGGGAAAAACATCACTCCTCACTGGAATGCAGGTACATCCAGCTGATTAGTTCTAAAAAGGAGGAAACACACATTCTGGATTCCACTGGTTGTCACCAAGATGGATACAAGTTAAAAGTTGTTAGACTGTCTTATTAAGTTATTCTTTTTCTAATCTATATATTGAGTATGAATTAGTACATACTTTAGTGTCACACCTATCTCACACTATGTATTCGAATCTATGTATTTATGTCTGTTTCTCTTTTTTTTTTCTTAGTTTATACCGTTGCTTGTTCGAGATACATTGAATATTCTTCGATTGAAAGGACAAAATATATCCAAATCATGTACACACTTACCAGAAGCTCCACCAGAACATATCAATTCAAGTATTCTTAAACAGATTTACAATGCGATTTCAGTAAGTTCACCTGGTTCCTTTGATCTGCACAAATTGGCTGATAAATTAAAGCTTCTTAAACTGTTAAGAAAATATACCATGAAATGGTGTAATTAAGGTACTCATCTGTGTGTGTGTGTGTGTGTGTGTGTGTATGGTCCACAGGAATAAAAACCATCGATCTCTTTGAGAAATTTCTCTGAAATATAACTAAGCTTTTTCGAATACATGTTATTTTCACTCAATACATCGCTATTTTCTGTATATGTACACTTACTATTATTATTTGTCCCTTAGGTTCCTAGTGGAACATAGGGCTTCAGTAGGACGTCTTTATTCCACTCTCTTCTCTACAATCTTTTCAACCTCACTCCACGACAGCCCACAACCTCTCATTTCTTACTCACACCATCTCCTCCATGTCACCCTCACCTGAGACGCCCACCTCGTTGTTTCTCATCTATGTTCCACTCGAATGCCTGACCTGGCATGTGATGTCTGCAGTCGGTCTTCTCAATGTGTGCTACATGCAATCCATTTCCACTTCCTTCCACTGAATATTTGTTGATGGTGGTGGTGGTGGTTGGGTATCTTCATCATCTGTGTATTCTCTACGTTCACTTGAAGTCCCGTCTTCCTTGGCTGCCCTGCTTCTAATGTCAACTTGTCAGTTTTTGCCTGTGGTATTTGTGAAATTAGACACAAGTCATCGGGGAAATCCAAATCTTCCAGGATCTTTTCCCCGGTTCAGCGTATGCCCATCTTCGCTCCTTACAGTTGTCTGCTGCATGATCTAGTCCACCATAATCACGAAGATGATTGGTGATAGCAGACAGCTTGTCTTACCCCGTCTTCACTTCAAAGGCATCACTTAGCTTCCCATTGTGAATTATTTGGCATGTGGTGTCTTCAATAGTTGTTGAATGAGGTTGATAAAGGTTTGTGGTATTCCATAGTGTTAAAGCAGTTTCCAAATTACTTCTCGGTCGACGCTGTCAAAGGCCTTTTCAAAACAGATGTAGTTGGGGTAGAGAGTTGACTGCCATTCTGTACTCTGTTCTATAAAGATGCATAGCGTAGCGGTGCAATTTGATTAGCACATGACTTATACTTCCTGAATCCAGCCAGCCTGTTCCGGTAGTAGTTTTTAATCCAGTACATCCTTTAGCCTCTCTAGGATGATGCGGCTTAATATTTTGCTTGCTGTGGGTGGACAGGAGTGGAGCGTGATTCCTCACCAGTTCTTGCAAACACTGAGGTCTCCCTTCTTCGGCAGTTTGACAAGGTAACCCTTCTTCCAATCAATGGCCAGGTACCTTCCCTTCCTTCCAGACCTCCTGCAATAGTGGTGTGAGCATGTCGCTGTTGACCCTGCGTCTGCTCTCAATGCTTCTGGTGGGATTCCATCTGGTCCTGTTGCTTTCCTGCATCTCGGTAGCTTTGTGGCGTTCAGGACTTCGACTTCTATCGGAGGCCTTGTGTTCACTGGTAGTTCTGCCGTTGCTGGTGGTATTTCTAGACGAAGTGCAGGTGGTGGTCGATTCAAGAGCTTCTTGAGGTGTTCTGGCCATCGTTTCCTTTGCTTCTCCTCTTTTGTAATTAGATTTCTTTCATCTTTTATTGGTTTCATCTGTGTTGATCTCTTCCCAGATAATAACCTGGTTATTTGATGCAATGTTGTCAGGTCTCTCTTACCTGCTTCACTTGCCAATGTGTTGTAAAGTGTCTTTCGTCTTTCCACAAACTCTTCTTCACCCCTTTGTTCAGTGTTTTATAAGTTATACTCAGTTCCTCTTTTCGTTGTTCATCCTTTCACTGGTTCATCTTCTGCTTCACCATACTCCTCTCCTCTATCAGCTTCTATGTGTCCGTCGAGATCCATTCAACTTGATTTGGAAGTTTCCTTGCACTAGACAGTGAGTGATGTGAGTCTACATCTACTCACCTTCTTGACCTTGTGTCAAAGTAGACTTCGTCTTCACTTTTTTGAGGTTGAGATGAAGTCGATCTGGTTTTTAGTGTGTCCTAGTGTCTGGCAAAATCCATGTCGCTTTGTGGATATCCTTGTGCTTGAACACAGTGCCTCACTGCAGTCACCAGATCTTTGAATGCACAGAATTCTGCAAACAATTCTCCATTCTCGTTCATCACCACACCTAGCGCTTCTCGACCCATAGTTTGTTCTCTTCCTGTGTTGTCCGCTCCCACTTTGGCATTCATGTCACACCACCCATTAGAATTTTGATATCGCCAACTGAGGTGGTCTTGTCCAGTGTTGACTGAAGTTGTTTGTAGAATTCCTCCTTTTCTCTTGCTCTGCATTATCTGTAGGTGCGTAGTGTAGCATTGTATGATTGTGACCTGCCTTCCTTTTGAATTGAACCTTGCTGTCATGATCCTGATCGATCAGGAGGAGATTGGTTCCCACTGCATGAGAGCCTTCGATGCTGTTGGGGATATCATGATAGCCACTCAAAAACTCAATGTGCTCGTGGTTCTTGTCTGGGTGACAATATTGGTGTAGATTATTGATTCTTCAGTTAACACTTTGGAGAGTCCACTTCCATTCCATCTGCTTTCTCAAATTCCTCGCACTTCAATACTATACTTTCTCATCTCGTTTGGAATCTGGGCTGCCTTGCTAGGTTCAAACATGGTGCAGAAATTCCATGTCCCCACGTTTACTTTCACTTTCATCGAGGGAAAGGAGACATCGGCCAATTGGCTTCCCGAAGGCTTTCACCAACTGGAGTTATTTCGCCTCTCCGATTCCAGCGAGGAATAATTTTGTTATTATTTTCTATATATCGTTTGTGCTTTGAAGTTTCTTTAGCGGTTAGATTTGTTTTACGGGGTAGGGTTGCTAGCCCTATGGCCAACCTTCCCTCTTTACCCGGGCTTAGGACGGGCTAGTAACTAGTGAACTAGTTAACCGGGCGAGAGAACAGTTCAGAATATCTCAGAATTGTTCATCGGTCAAGATTTTTATGCTTAGTAGTAGTTAAGTGATCGAGTGAATAATAAACAGTACGGGAAGGATACTAACGCGATGGGACAGCTTTTCTGGGTACGCATAGCAACTGTTCTCCGTCAAAACCTTCGACTTCAGTGAGCCGCGTAAATCAAAAGGTAAAGATCGATCTGTTAATGTGAGGAAGACAATTCATTCAACAAAAATGCATCATTTGTATACAGTTTTCACCAACATAGAAAACCATTATTTCAAAAGTTGGATATTTATTCTGATTGGTTAACTGTCGGACAAAACTGTCCAATAAGGTTTTTCTCACTACACAGTGACATGAACGAAAGTTGAAATCCAAGATTTCTACCCTATAATGTTGATTTCCATTGAGGTCACTTTTCATCAAGCGGTAGTAATAGTAGTAGTAGTAGTAGTAGTAGTAGTAGTAGCACCAAAGAAGGAGATCAACAAGGAATAAATGCGAGGAAGTGTGAGTCAAAACATCGCTTTTGAAGCTTATCAGTGGAATTCTTTTATCCTTCTTGTACAACCAAGAGATCAGTTATCGTGTACACTATTCATATACATGCGAACATACTGTTATGAATTGGAAACTGTTATGTCCTATGGCTGCTAACGATTCTTGGATGTCAAGTGTCAGCCACCAATATTGAACAAATTCTTAGTTGATTCCCGATACGACTGATTAAGTGAAGGAGACACGGTGAACGTGTATTTCAGAACGATAGACTGATGACCAAAAGCAAAGGAAAATACAGCTGTTTAAAATGATCCCATTGATTGGGTCATCCACTGCCTGTCTGTTGATCCCTCTCTAGACTAGTCTTTTCTGTCGATCCTCTTAACACCTCTCTCTACGAAAGAATGTTATTTGGGATCAGACTGGGCCATACTGTCTTTTTCTTGCATCTCTGTGACAGGCACACAGAAGGAGGTGGGATCAATAGTCTTCTCGATATTCTTTCGATGGGTAGGTGCATGAACATGAAAATCAGCTATCAAGCCAAGACACATACGAGCAATTTCATTATCCTCACGATTTTCATATACTCAGATATTCAGCTTTCTTTTGAGATTATACGAAAAGAAGATAAATTACTACAATCTCACTGCTAATCAAATTAGAGGTTGGATTGTTTTCATTTCAGTTGTAAGGATACCCTCATCAGTCATACCATGCAGTCAGTATACGACGATGGACCAGGGGGTCATTTGATTACAGTTTACTCACCGAATTATACAGTATATTACGATCGTCTTCATATATCACATTGTTACATATTCATTCATTATCAATTAAGAATCTTCAGAGCAAGAATAATTTGAGCGAATAATTATTTTCAATAACTTCTCCTTCAGGCTCTACAGTTATAAATCGATAAGAATAAGTGTAATACAATAGCCAAAATAATGCATAATGTACAATTGTTGCTATCATTTTGACTATTTGAGATAGCCGTAGTTTGGCAACCTAGTAATAATACTGGATGGTCATTGAAGGCGAAATGAAAATTTACACTACAACCAGATTCGAACCAGTGACCACCGGGTTTGTGACTCGATGTAATGAAATAAAAATCGGGTGAGCAGTCAGACCTCATACATCAGTTGGTAGAGCATCGGACCGGGAACCTGGTTGAAACTTGGCCTCTGTCCAAACTTCCATTTCACCTTCAATCATCCCAGTATAAATGCAAGTCTGTCAAATTACACGGCTATCTCAGATAGTCAAAGTGATAATGAATATGATGCTCCCCCTCTCTAATTCAGTTACTTTTGGATGGGGATAACAAGTCCTGACTAGGCAGCCAGTGTGAAAACGATCAAGTAGTTGTAATGCATCACGAATTCACATGATAGTCGGTTAAAACAAGTCTGGTGAACAGTCGAACTTCTCAGCTCAGTTGATAGAGCATCGGACAGGAAACCCAGTGGTCGCTGGTTTGAATCCGTCTGCGATATAAATTCTCATTTCACCTTCAATCATCAACCAGTATAGATAATGATTTATTTATATACATTAACTGGAGCATGC